CCACAAAGAAAATATGTTGATAATCGACATTTTTTTTTAACCAGCAACGACCATCATGCTGATCAGCCAACCAGAAACCGGCACGAGACTGTGGGCGGGGTTAGGGTCGTCACCCTCGGGTCGTTCAGAGAAGGAGGAGGGAAGACGGAGGGGAGGAGGAAGGGGAGATAGGAGGAAAGAAGAAGGGGAAGGGAGAAGTAGGGAAGGAAAGGAAGAGAAACTTGAGGAAAGAGAGGTAGGGGAAGGGGAGGAGAGGAAGGGGAGTTGGGCGGCAGGGAGGGTTGGAGGGTCAGGCAGCAGGTAGCGACCGATGAGTCATCCGACGAAAGCCACCTGCATTATCACTCCCAGATACAATTGTTAACTTTTGTTTTTTTTCTTCTTCCTCTTCGTGTACACCTTTCAAAGCCTCTGATAAGAAGACTTACTCTAATCCCCTTCCCGACGTCACACTTACGATAAAACTCGTCCCCAACCTCATGCATTTATATAACTGAACAAACGAAAGCTTGCACAACGTGGACTGATAACATTTCCGCTGCGTGTTGTTCATCTTTCACTGTTGGTTCGCTCGAATTTTCCTGCTTCTTTTTTCTGGACGAATATCATCCTTATGATTTCTGTAGTAAAATGCATGTTTTCCGTAATCTTTTCCAACATTCATATCTAAAGGATTGTGAATTCTGAAGCAAAATATATATTTCTTAATCATATTTTCCAACTTTCAGATCTATACGCTTGGTAATTATGAAGATGCTTTCTTTTTCGACACTTCTCTTAATAACTTTAATCCCTAAATCCTTTCGACTGGAAGTGTCTTACAAAAGATACTGCCGTTTTCTTATGAACCAAAACCGAAATTAGAAAACCAAAATCATCAATCAGTTAATGTGGAAAACCAACAAACACCGCCTCGTCTTCCCAGAGGAAGACGAGCGTGAAAGGAAACGTTTTACGTCAGTTAGGACTGGGACGTGCATAGGCCTATCTCAGGGGACTGAAAACAAGAATCCTGGCGGGTACTCACGGGGGTTAAAGACTGCGAAGTTGGCTCGGGTCGCCGCCGAGACCTCGTACTTGCGCCCTGCCGTGACCCGCGCCTCCTGCACGGGCGGGGCCGACGCCTCCACGGTCACCAGCTGAGGAGGAGGGGTCACTTCCCTCGGGGGCGTGGGCTCCTTCGGGGTTGGGGTGGGCACTTTGGGCGGTGGGGTGGGCTCCCTGGGAGGCGGGGTGGGTTCCCTGGGTGTCGGAGTGGGCACCTTCGGTGGTGGAGTGGGCTCCCTAGGTGGAGGTGTTGGCTCTCGGGGGGGCGGTGTGGGTTCCCTGGGCGTGGGCGTAGGCACCTTGGGGGGCGGGGTGGGTTCCCTGGGTGGAGGTGTGGGTTCCCTGGGTGGAGGTGTGGGTTCCCTTGGAGGCGGGGTGGGCTCTCTGGGCGTTGGGGTGGGCACCTTGGGTGGAGGAGTGGGCTCCCTCGGTGGAGGAGTGGGTTCCTTGGGTGGCGGGTGGGTTCCCGGGTTGGGGTGGGCACCTTGGGTGAGGAGTGGGTTCACGCGGCGGGGTGGGCTCCCTCCTGGCGAAGGGGTCGGGCTGGGCTCCCTCCTGGCGAAGGGCTCCGGGCTGGGGTCCTTGGGGGCGGCGAAGGGGTCGGCCGCCTTCAGGCCGAACAGCTCCGCCTCACCCTTGGCCAGGGGGTCGAAAGGCGCCTCCTTGGCCAGGGGCTCGGGGCTGGGCTCGCGCTTGGGCGCGCGGGGCGAAGCTTTCGGGGGCCACGAGGGGCTCGGCCAGGGCCTCCACCGCAGGAGGCTTGGCGCCGAAGGGGTCAAAGGAGGCCAGGGTCTCGATGTGGGGTCCCCCGGCACCCTTGCCCTCGGAGGCCAGGAACTTGGTGGCCTCAGCGGCCAGGACGTCGTCAGCGCCGCCGAGCACGGGCGAGACGGGCTTGGCCTCCGTCTGCGTCGGCGGGGGGAGGTCGTCCAGGATGGAGGCGACGGCAGGTGGCGCGCTGACGACGGGCCTGTGTCAGCCTGGGTGGCGGCTGGCGCTTTAGCTGACGGCGCCTCGACTTTTCCCGAGAGCGGCTCGGCTGACATGGCAAAGGAGGCGAAGGCGTCGCTGGGGTCCTTGGCGAAGGGGTCGCTAGTCTTGAAGGGGTCGCTGGCGAAGGGCGGCGCGGCCGACGAGAGAAGGCCTGTGTCGAAGGCGGGGCTGGAGTCGAGCCCGCCGCCGAAGGTAGAGCTGTCGGGCGCCGCGGAGGTGGCCTGCGACACGAGGTCGTCCATGAGGCCAGCGGCCGCCTGGAAGCCCTGGGCCGCAGGAGGGAGCTGGTCGGCCTCGACCTTCTCGAAGTCGTCGAGGTTGAGCGAATCGCGATTCGATCCGGGCGCCTCTGGCTTCTGGCTGGAGTCCACTGCACTGTTACTCGACATGCTGGTGAAGTGATCAAAGTCAGACATGTTGCTGATTCCCTCTTACACGTTACAGGCCACGGTTCGACACAGAACACGAAACTAGCGGTGGTCCCGAGCGCGAGTGTGAGGTGTCCCTGCACGCACTCGACACACGCTGTCTTGCTCCACGACACGACCGCCCCCTTGCACTCGGCGCCATGACGGGCCGCACCTGCCGATCTTTGGTCTCAATTTGACCACACTTTCTTCCTTTTTAGGAATGTATAATTCATCCAAATGATTAAAATTGATGTCTGTCACGTCAATGATAAAGCTTCCATACAAATTAAAACTCCAAACGGACATAAAAAATTAGTCCTAGTAAAACAATAACGAAAACTCAGGCGGCGCGCGCGATTGGCGAGGAGAAGCGGCGTTCGGTTGAGCCAATCGGAGGAGTTTCGGGCGCCTCATGAGCCCCCCGCGCCGTGGATACCTAAACATGGTGGCGCACAGCGAGCTCGACCAGGTCCCGCGAGAAAAAATACTAAATCAACAGGGTTATTCATCATGTAGCAAAGAAAATGTAGCGGTGAACGACATCCAAGAGCCAGAGGAAAAGATCTGCCACCAGGTTAGCGCCATTGCCTTCGTAAATAGCCTAGAAATGGTGTTGTCAATTCAGGTCACGGGATGGGGGCGACTCGCACCACTCCCAGCTCCTCCGCATGACATTCCTTTTAATTACCTCGCTCGTGCTCGGGAAGCAGCGAAGTCGCCCTTGGCTCGCCCATGCCCCGCACAGCACAACGGCGATGACGATCAGGTATCCACAAGTCCCTATCCAAAGTCCCAGAAGCCACAGAAGGAAAAGGAAAATGCCAGGCGTGGAATGTCAGGAGGAATGTCATGTCATGCAGATTGATATTGCTTAATTTTTAATGGTGTCACAATCCCTTTTATCGTGTCGCGTTGGGCTCCGGTTGCGGCGAGAGTACGGCGAGGAGGCAGACGACCTGGACTCTGGACAGACAATTGAAAGTTGAAGGCCTATTGTTTTTATTTTATTTTTATTTTTAACTTTTTAACTTCACTTTCGAATGGCCAAAGGAACAGCTATGGTGAGATTTTTGTTTGTTTGCTTTTGTTGTTTTCTTGTGAGTTCTTTTTAGCTTGGGTTGTTATTGGTAGTCTGTGAGAACCTTGTGTTTGAGTTAATGGACTTTCTATTCTTTTTCTTTTTTTTTGTTTATCATTTGCAAGGTGGCACAGATTTTTCTTCTGTATTCATGTTATTAACTTAACATGTTCGCTCCGTTGATGTTACGTTTACTTCCAAGGTTTATTTTTCCAACTGGTGTGTTTAGGAAAACTTTGGATGTGAATTTTCCTGAAATTTCTTGCTGCAAGGTTCATCACATCAGTTGTTTCTAGCAATACAATTTCAGTACAATATTATTAGAAAAAGTCCTTTTTAATGGAAATCACTATAAGAATTGTGTTCCTGAAGAGTCATTAGAAGAGAAAAATTATTGGGTTGAACTATGGAATGCTGTTGGTAGCATTGCATAACTCAAGCCAGGGTGTGGTTGCAGTGGTGTCAGTGCTGAGAGACAGGAAAATTATCAATATTCCTTAGCCATAGGGAGAAAAGGGGAGTTTTCTTGGACAAAAGCAACAGAATATTATGTACTTGTTGAAATCCTGTCCAAATGGGTAAGAATTGAAGAATGTGTGTTAGTGTGGCTGTGGTTGGAGAGGCAGATACTAGGCTGCTGGTTCGAGTCCTCTCCGTGAGGTCAGCGTAAATGGAGTGCAACAACCCATACATTGTTTCTAGAATATGAAATATGAAAATCCTTTCTTGAAGATATTTATTAAGGAACTTAATAAATTATGTTAGTGATAAAAAAAGGAAAATTTAGATACTATAATGATGATAATAGGATGATATGAAGTGTTTTGTTGTTGACAAATTTGATGTGTGGCGGAAGTAAAGGAGGTAAATGTGTACAAGATACCTACAGTACCTTACAAAATAGATGTTTCTCTCAGGATGGTTAATATTTACAGTATGGGTGCACCAAGCTAGGGCAAATTGCAGTTGCCAGTACAAGAAAGCCTCTGCAGACACAAAGAGCAATGCCACAACTAAAAGGAAAAGAATCACAGAAAGCGCCACTCACAGCATAAGTCCGCTCAATGCTCCTGAGTTTCAGTTCTATCTTACCATGCATACCAAGGTGAAAACAATGTTTGGCATGGGGTTTTAGGAGGAGGAGCCCTCATCACCTACCCTGCAGGCAGTGCCTGAAGGGCATGCCCACTCATAGGCTTTACTTCACTAGTTGACAACATCATTGAAAACTGGACCCAAGACTTGACTGTCGTGTGTCAGTATCACCAGTTATCTCTTTTGTTAAGAGAAATTAATGTAGCCTACTTTGCAAATAGGTTGACAGCGAGAATTACGTTGAGCCCATTTTTCTCAAGCGTCTGAATGTGTGGACTGGATTGTATTGGAATTTTACAACCACTGGTGCAGGGAAATTTTTGGGTGATCAGAGAAGTCAGTAGCTTTGTTTTTTAGAATTTTCTTTAATAACCCTCAGAATTATTGCATGTTGCTCATTATTTAATTTTAGTGAAAGGTTCTAGGCCTGATGTGGCTATCGTTTATTATAATTGCAATTGATATTGTAGTAAATGTGTAGATATCAATTCCTACAAAAGGAAGTATAAATTAAGATGTGAATGCACTTGTCAAGGCCACTATGTATATTTGTTAGTTGTTTGAATGCTCAACCAAACTTCAGAGTTATGAACACAACTATCAAGGCCATACACTGTGTTTCTTCATGGCTTGAACCCTCCCAGGATATTAGTCATGTCCTTTAAGTAGGCTGTAATTAAGCTTTTGATGTTGTTTAATTCTATATTTGTTTTTTTTCTCCTCCTCCTCCTCCTCCTCTTCCTCCTCCTCCTTCTCCTCTTCCTCCTTTCTTCCCCACACCAGAGCTTTTATGGGTTTCTTATTTGAATTGAAAGTTAGAGACCAAAGGTTTTAATTATTTCCCAAGGAAACCATTCTGGGGTTCCACAGAATGAATGAGTGAGAATGTGAGTATGTGGGAGAGAGGTTATGAGGGCAAGAGTTAAGAGTGAGTGAATGTGAGTGTCTTGCTTCATGTCAAGAGTATTGATTTATGAGGCATTGGTCTTTGGATGTACAAAGATGGAAAATTTGATTGATGAATAGGGATTAGTAGCTATTCACCTTATAATATCCTGCTGAGGTTAAATTTAGTATTATAAACTGATATTCATTAGTGATTGTAAACAGCTTTATATGTGTAAGTTTGGAAATGTATGTTGATATCATTTTCATGGTTGAGAGCAACTTTAGGACACTTAAAAAATACTTAGAAGTTCTATGGTAATTCTTTACAGAATGGCTACCCCGACGCCATGTCAAAAAATTTATTCATTAATCTAAGTTGCCATGACTGGGCATAACCATCAGGCACTGCCCAAGGAGAGGGTTGATGGGGGGACTCTGCCCCAGTATCTTTGTGTCTACAGATTATTTTTTATACCAACTACTGCAACTTTTTGTCCTCTACAAGAATATCATATTCAATATACCCAAACTTAGTGTGTCGATACCATAAAGATTAACCAGTTCTATTTATGAACATAACAGTTCCAGTATACATGCTCATTGAACTATGTCATTATAAGTTTTTTAGTAAAGTTAGTCTTCAAGTCTACCACATCACAGTTTATATTTAAGAGTATATATTGATGCTATAATGTCTGTCTGTATATTTTTAGTTGAATAACATGTATTTTCTTTAAAACTAGAGTTCAATGGGGAAAGTGAGAGTGATTTTTTTCTACCTTTTATATCCAGTCATTGAACTCATAAACTGGTGTATACCTCCTCAGTAGCTGAGCATGCTACACTGTACAGTACACCTTTCAGATGATGCTCATAAAAGTCATTGTTGATGGATTAGCCAGTCTTTTTTGTTTGTAAAAATGCCTTTCTGCAGTATTTGACTTCTTCATTTATGACAGTTCCATCTTTTCCTTGCTGTGCTTATGAAAAGATACAATGTTTTTCCCTGCAACTTTAGTTTCACTGCCTAGTACACACAAAACACACCATATACAGCTTATAGACTAGAAATAGGGATAAGTTTATTACTAAATTTCTTTTTGAACTGAGTAAAGTTAAGTTAATTGATTTTAAGTGTTATACCCTTTAATTTAATTGTTGGTATTGTATTCATAGATAAGCATGTTAATTTCAGTTTACATTGTTTGATAAAGATCCGAATGTGAAAAGATTTAGTTTAAGATTTACACATTCCTTCCAGAAAATAGTTGTTAAAAAAGGAGTGTCATGTTTATGCTATCACTTTTTCCCTCAATTTTTGTTTCCAAATAAACTTTTCATATGGAAATGGACTGACCCTATCACACTACCAAGGCAGATAGCATTGCCTATGTAAACAGACATACGGAGTGAAGTCCTGGGTATCACACGAATGTTTTCATACATATCACATTATTTTAAAGATATATGATTATGTATATTGTGTATACGAATGTTCTAACATATTAGCTTATGTTTACATTCTCTCACTCTATCTAATTTATCAATGAAAAATATTCAAGCTCTATAGATCCTCCGTAGTAGAAAATCTAGAGGGAAATTAGTCAGATGGAAATGGTTGCAACACCATCGGAGGTGTTCTGTTTGCAAACGATACTCACGGAAAGCCTCAAATACAGATGGGAACGCAAAAGTTGCCAGTGTGATAGGGTCTTTAGGGAGTGAGGGTTAGGATTTAAAAATCGAGGCCCAGATCTAAAATCATCTGCAGAGCAGACTGTGGCTTTTGAATACAAGTTTTCTTGATAAATCAATAAAACTCATAATCAATACTGTACTATGATTATTTTATATGCATATTTATGATTATGTATTTTCCTCTATTTGTTGTTATTATTTTTTATGTAAGAAAAGGGTACTTACTGCAATGAAGTATTGTGCTGATGCTATGGGTTCAAGGAAGTAAGAAAAAAAGTCATAAGGCATTATGAGTCATGGCTGTTCTTGCTTTTCCGTCTCCAAATAACTTCATTAAGTGCCTTTTTTTAGTTGTGAACATAGATATAACACATTGTCGCGGGG